AGTTGCTGTATGTGCGATTCTTGTCATTGGGATATTACTATAATTGTCTGATGTGTGATAGATAAAGATGTCAATAGGGATTCTTTCATTTTGTGATGAATTAGCTATGTTTGGAGTGTTTATGAACATTCATTTCACTTCATTGTTCAAATCTTCTTTAGATTCGTTAAACACATGAATGTCTCTTCTTGTGTTTTTGTCTTGGATATTGAATATAGGATTAGTTTTCACTCGAAGTTATTCTTTTGATAATCTCAATGAAAAATTCAATAATAAAATCTCTTTTCCGAAGGGTGACGTATTTCTTCATTCCAAGGTTTAAAACTTCCTTCTGAGAAAAGATAAATAACAGGATATTGTATGCTTTTTTTTTATATTTATTAATTACAAACATAAAATTATTTAATAAAGTAAAATTCTAATAAGAGAAGAAATCTAAAAACATAAATATAGTATAATATTTTTGAAAGACTGTTAAATTTAAGAAAGTTAAAAGAAGAGTAAATAAAAATGAATATATGTGATTTTGTTTTATCTAATGATTTATGGCAATTATCTAAACTTATCACTTAATTTTTTTTTATCAACTTTTAAAAGAAAAGTATAATTTATTTTAAAGGATAAGATATCAAAAATTTATATAATCACCATAATTTTAGTTTTATTATTGTTCTTCATTTAGACGTCATATTACTCATATAACTTATTTTCTTCCTTGTAAGTTTTATAACTATTTTTTGTTTAGTTGAAAAGTATTTTTTATATTATAAATTTCATTTTAACAATTGTTTTTAATAATAATAATTATTGTTATAGACTACAACTAAATAAACAAATACATTAACTAAGAAAACAAATTTTTATACAAAATAATTTACTCTTATTAAGTTCAGAAATTATGTTGAGATAACAGAATTAGTCGTTAAGAGTTTCTTAATTTTTATTATTCTTTATTAATAAAAAAACTAATAAAATAATAAGTCCACCTTTAGTTGATATTACCTTTATACTCACAAACAGTATCACATCATAATAACTTTATTATTCTTTTCGTACA